AAGAAGAAGAAGAAGAAGAAGAAGAAGAAGAAGAAGAAGAAGAAGAAAGCATGGAGTTGAATGGAGTTGAGGAAGTAATTTATGGAGAGATGCCATTCTATCAGTGGACATACACAATTGGATTAAACTTGAATATCAGCAGCCCTTTCATAACTGCTGAATATCTGTCACTGAATTATCTGAATGAGACAACAGATCCTCAGCTAACAATGCACTCAGCCTAATTTCATCCACTGCTTTTTACTTGGCATCTCTAGGATTACTCCAGAACCTTGTAAAAAGAATATCCACATACTGTAGCTCCATACCTAACTGACTGTAGTTTTATCCTGCCCATGGTTTGGAGACAGAAAAGGTATAAGCAATAAGTTAATTAGAACTATTAATTAGAGCTATGAGCTCAAAATCTGACGGCCAAAATAGAGCCCCTGAGAGACTTATTTGAGCAGGAAACTGAAGATTACCTATGGTTCTCCATTTATGAGTAATCTAGTCTCAAAAGGTTTAGGCTTTATTCATGATTATACATGCAGCACACATCTTTTTATATTCTTCAATGAAGGTTGTTAGTCTGAGAAAATATTCAAAGTCAACAATGAGCTTCATGGCTAAAAGATTTGGTCCTAACTCTCTTTTGTCCTAGCTGCTATAATCACCACACCATAGTGGGCCTGCAAGGGAAACGTTCTATTTTATCAATGGCAAGTATTTAAATTTTCTCTATTTAAAACAAAAAAAGCTACTTATCTCTAAACCACACTTTGAATTTTGAATGGACCACCATATAGGATTTTGCCCAAAGTTTCCTCCTTCTATTGTTATCACTTCCAACATTGTATATAAATGGATGTAGGATAAGTAACACATGAAGCTCACTCTCAAAAACCTGAAAATTCCTGGTTTCTTCCTTTACCCTTTGTTCTGTAAACAAGACTTCTTGTAGATTGCTTTGTACTTACTTGGAAATGACTCTGTTTGTACCATCTCTGAACAAACTGCAAAGCCAACAGATGCTGCGATTCATAATCCTGGATGAAGAAAACAAATATATTTAAGCATTCTGTTCAAGGGATATTGGTAAGATGCAGGAAAGATCATAATGCTTATGTATTGATGTAACTTTATTAGGTCATCTTCCAGACAAAACAAACCAGTTTTCATCTTATATAGCCTTACCTTGAGCTCGTTACATATGGGGCTGAGTTAATATCCTGATTATTAGCTCTCTTTCCATTCTTGCAAGATTATACCCTTTTTCCTTTGTTTTCCCCATATGCCTGGATCAGTTTCCCAGAATATCTGTGTGACGAAAGCTTTTTAAATTCCTCATATCCTCTCTGTTCCATGAAGGATCAGCCTCAAACATCAAATTTCCATATGTAACTGCACCAAAATTAAAGATCTACCATGTCCCTACCTAACATGTATCAATTTCTCTCTTTTTCTTTTCTTTTTCTCAGATGAATTTTAAATTCCCTGATGTCAGTTTACTTTTATGCATCTGCATCTTGGAGCACCATGCATATTGGTGAACTCCTCCTCCTCCAAGTATCTTTTCTTATTGTGTTGCACTCCTGCACCCATATTTCTGATAATTAAGTTGTGCTAAATATAATAGAACTTTTGGAAACACACTGAGGAGGATTGTTCTTTTTCTTTGTGGAGAAACAATTCAAGGGGAAAGCAGCATCTTTGCTGCCCCTGTGTGGACTCCTCTGACAATGCTTTCCTATGTTTACTACAAACACAAACAGTCAGAGGATTTATGCAGACTAAACTGAAGTGTGAAGAACTAATGTACAATAGTCAGTTATCTGCCCTTTAGATGTGATTGATTATCCAGCTAAAGTATCTATCTGTGGTTTCTAGATTATTGGAAGTGTACTCCTTAACCAAAATATCTTATTTCCAGAACTAGTTTTATGTTTAGAATGGAATAGCTGCAACTGAGTGTTCTGAAAGAGAGTAAATTTTCAATTATTTAACTCACTAATATACATTTATGAAGAAGGAGAAGAGAGCAATAATGGTGAATATCTGTAGCTCGGATGTAGGATGAGGGTGGAGGTTCATTCTTGAAGCTTGTGGATTGGTTTCTGAAAGTTTTGTTACCAGGCTAGATAACAACTTAAGAAGAAGAGACTATGAAATAGTTTACTTCATACCAAAATAAATTGCTTGGCATTGAGATCCTGTTTTTTTTTAACTTGGCTGGTAATGGAAGTCATTTGTTATTTGATGTCAGACTTCAAACTGTAATAGGCACATCAAGTTCAGTAGTTCTTTCAGATTTTACGAAAGACTACTGTGACATTTCCTTTACTATCAGCAGATTCATAAATGAATTAAATATACATAGGCTATTTATCTTGAAAGTCCAGAACCCTGGAATGCACTATTCAGGGCTTCTAACCATAGTCAAAAAACATGTTTGTATATTTTCTTGTTTGTTTTTAGTTGACAAACGTGCACTAGTTTTCACTGAATCTAGGATGAGAAGGTTTTCAGTCTAACAGATATCTTCATCAACCTTTCTTCTCAGTTCCTCAAAAATGAGCCACAAGCTTTACAAATTTGTGAAGCAATCAGTCAGAGTCTGTTAAACAAAAGACTGCTTTATGCATTTTGACAAGTACAACTTCTCTTAATAAAATGATCTGCTCTTTTTCAAATCATTTTTAAAAGATTTAACTGCTTTTGCAAACTTCGACATTCAGTAAGGCAGGAATTCTCTAATTATAAGTCTTGGCCTCTGGGGAGGTCACAAGCAAGTTAATGTGGAGTCACAACTATGTATGGTGATTTAAATTTTGATGACGCTTGTGCACACAAAGCAGAAGTACTATCAGATCTTCCTATTTTTGCTGGACAAACCTTCCATACAAAATAAACTGTAAAATGTCAGCATTTGAATACTGAATGTAAGCTATCCATCATTCACAAGAGCAGTAGACTTCTCACAAGGCATTTTTAGTCTTTGAGGGTGTCCATCAAAGTGTGTGTACAGTTGTTAGTGAAGTTCTGTATTTTTACACACTATTGTTCATTTCTAGACTTCCAAAAGAAGAAACATTTCTGTTACCTGGTAAGAAAAAAAGCTATAGATTATCTATTTACTAATAGTGCTGATTAAATACATTTATGTCAAGAAAGTATGAATATGGTCTATATTTTAGTAAGTAATATATTCATATCTTGCCTGTTCCTAGCACTAATAGAATCAATTTTATTTATAGGGGGAGGGGTATCACACAATTTCATGTATGATTGGGTTGAGGATGAAAATTTTGAAAATCCCTGCCATAAGGATTAGATTAATTCAACTATAGTTCTATCTGCATTGAGGATTTATCCTGAGTGTCAGTAGGGAATAACAAAAAAACCTATTACACTTGTACATAAGTGTTTCTTAAAACTGAAATACTTCTTCCATGCATTTTGAATTCTTACATTCACTAAAAGATTTACTTTTAGAATGTATAAACCTAGAAACCCAAAAAACCTCACCCATTCAGAAATCGATTTTTTTCCTTTTTTTTTTTTTGCATTTTCATGGATCATTGCATTGGACCTGCTTCCTCAATGAAAGAGAAAAACAGAGAAGCTAATGCATGCAGAGATGCAGCAAAATGGATTTCATGAAAGAAGGTAATTGGTGCATCTTGTTCCAAGCATACCTAAGGAAGAAATGCAGCACTGTGTCCTACATTCTTCTTGGAAGAAGATTCTGCCTGAGCAATGTGTGCATTTATTTGTAAATTACTGTGGCTTATATACTGCACTGTTTACAAAACCACTGGGTGCTTCATAAATAACAGCATCGGCACTGAAATGTGAAAACTCATTAACATGATCAAGGCTCTGATGTGCTATCTTTCAGGTGATTTGATCTGGTAAATGAGTTTTTACATGAAGACAAAATTGTTGAGTTTATCCACATTGTCAATGACTCTTCCAATGATTGTGAAATATTATATGAGTTGTAATAAATGAATATACTGCATAGTCAATATGAATGAACATACCCTATTTCCTTTTTTTAAAATGATGAAAGCAAATGGATAAAGCTGTTATTAAATTTATTTTAAACTTGCTCTTTGTTCAAAAATATTTCAGCCACAGGGCACTTCAGTTATAGGCACAAATAAGACTCATGGCTTTAATATATTTCTCTCTCCCATCTATCAAAAATATTAAACTTGGATTATGTTATATATTTCAATTTTAGAAATATAATATCTTAATATTGTGAGGTCTTAATTTTTCACCTTTACCAAGTTTGCATTATACAATTTACACTGTAGCGGACTTATTTTAGTTGGAGGTATTCCATTGTAACTATGTGTATCTTAACCACAGTTTTCTTCTAATCTGGGAAAGCATATGAAGAAATACTTCAGAACATGGCTCATATCCACTGATTCAGAGTTAATAACTAAGAATTAAGAAATCAAATGATAGACACTCATTAATTACCCTTAATGGTTATTAAACAGAAATGATTTCCCCAAAGTCTGAACTAATGGTATTTCCATCCTTTTGCCTCTCGTCAGCCCACTCATTCTTGTATAACAAGCTACAGAAATTCACCTCTTTGGCAGAATTAGGTTAATAGGTTTCTGGGTGTTTTTATTAGAAGCACAAACATGTGATGCATGTAACAATACAATATTTCAAACTAAGGAGATCCTATTAAAATGATGCTGTACTTACTCCTCTAGACTCTTTTATCATGAAATAGTACAGTAGCTGTTTTCAAAATTCCCTGACAGTTAGGTATAGGCTAGTTGCTTACTTACCACAATATCCTCCAAGTTTTTGAGGAGTGACTGTGATGGTTGAGGAAATTATTTGCTTCCGTTTAAAATCAGAAGTATGCCAAAATCTGACCACGTTTGGTAGTTTTTGACTTGCAGAGGATATAGCATTGGGTATCTGCTTCTGGAAAAGAACAAGATCTCATATTAATGCATCTTTCTTGGTGTTACTGAAAGCAGTGAGCGCTTCCTTTCTGCTTTGGGAAGTTGTCATCTTCATGTGTTTACATTTAAACGTTGCTTGTGGTTAGTGGGAAGTTCTTTTTATTTAAAAAAAATAAAGAAAGTTCCACCAGACTTCAGAGATCCATTGATAAGAGGATGTTTGTTTTGTCACTTGTAGAATATCTTTACTGATTGACTGAAGCCACATTATTAATCTTTTTTGGGGCAGAAGTTATGAACAATGACTGCAATCAACAGATAAGGCTGTCATTTTGTGACTAAAAGTTTCCAGTCCCTTATCAAGTGACACTTCTCTTCTTCAATTACCAATGCTCAGTCAACCTTGCCTCAGAGATTTGTTTGCTATGTTACTTGGAACCCCGACACTCTCATTTGAGAAGTGATGAGGAATTAGATATAGATCAAAACCACCTCCTTTCTATAATGAAATAGCCATTACATGTGATCTATTATTAAAACGTTGGCTTTTGGTGAAGTCCTTTTCTTTGCAGATATTCTGCTCTGAGTTAAGTCACTGCATCTTGGAATGGAGGTTTTGGCTGAATCTGATGTATAGTATACTTAAATGTTGGTTGCTAGGGAACAGTGAAAAAGGTCTATGAGCATTGCATCGTGCTTGTAAGTTTCCAGGATACAGTATGTCTTAGGGACAGACAATCAAATGCCTTTGAGTATTTCCAGAATGGTTTAGTACTTATGCTGCTAGCAGGAACTGTTAGGAGTTCAGAAATAAATTTCCTTACCCATTTCCTGAAGCTATAGAGAAGAAAGGAAGTTCAATGTAGCAATGTGTGTTTCACAAATGTAATGAAAGGATACATCAGTGCATATTTTTATTTGCATGCAGCTGTATTATATAGATTGAAAGTTATCTGCTCTGATATATCAATCATAATAAAAGTCTCTCTTCTGGAAAAAAAATAAAGTGAAGTACATTTTGGTTGTTACATATTGCAGAAAAGAAGAGGAAAGAGTTACCACATAAAATTGTATGTATGCTAACTATAAAGGTAACATCAGTAGAAATATTATGTATGGGTAATAATAATATAAATAAATCTTGAGTGGGGAAAACTTTGGCAATGTAACCTGGGATCTGTGCAACTTCTGGATAGTGGTGGTACCCAACCTGAAACATGCAAACAAGCAGGCAGTAAAATTTAAATGTGGTTAATCAAGGTGAAATATTTGGTGAGGTGGATATTTTTCTTGCAAAACTTTTTAGTTTTGCAGACTTTTAATAAACTCCAGCTTGTGTCACTACTTTCTAGACTACTGCTGATTCTTTGCCAATATTTCCTTCTTTTAAATCTTTCTTCCTCTTACTACACATGGATGACCTCCTTCCAGCAAAGAGCGAATAGGCTGATGTTTCATAGTTCTAAAAGCATTCATGTTTCACTGCAAGAACTGATGTTGGATGAACTGAAACAATTTTAATGAATGAGAAAAGTTGCTTTCTTTGTTTTTGTTTAGAAATGGTATAAGCATTTTAATCTGATGTTGGCAGTATGAAGGTCCACAACTGTTCTCCAGCCCTAGTTTCCGTGCTTTCCCTCCTCCTCCTCCTCGCCCTCGCCCTCGCCCTCCTCCTCTTCCCCATTAAAAACTCCAAAGGAGGGAGGTAAAAGTTATAAACAGTATATTCAGATTTTTTTTACTACCGGTTCTGTGGGTGTGGCTTGGTGGGTATAGCAGAGGAAAGATACTGTAAAATCCCCATTCACTCCCTGCCCTACTAACTTGCTTTCCAGCTCCATTCTCCTGTGCAGGGCAACAAAAGAAGACCCAGCTGATCAGCTGGGACTCCAATCAGCTGAGACTTGGGAGGCAGAGAATAGATGGGGTGGGGCCAACCAGAGGTGGTATTTACCAGTTCTCTGAACTACTCAAAATTTTCCCTTCCAATTTCCAGAACCTGTCAGAACTGGCTGAATACTACCTCTAGTTATAAATGCTTGTCATTCTTACTTTAAGTAATTTTTTAATTGTTTGAGAGATCCAGGGCCAGAATGATCATTTGAACATTTCATCCCTACATACTATTTTTTTCCTGTTCCTCCTGTTTTTCCACTAAAATAAGTAGTCCAGCAACTAAGATTGAGTGGGGGAAAATATGGAAGAAGATTTTAAAATATTAATTTTAGAATGTAGGGAGATGGTGGGAATTTTTACCAAGGTTGAACAAATCGGAAAATAAATTTAGTTTCTCTGTCCTGAAGTATGAAACTGCTTTTTCAGATTCCCCTATGCTAAAATTGGCAATAGGATAAAAATATCAATAATACCTCATATAATTATTTTTTCTTCCTATCACTAGGGGGATTTTTTTTCCTGGAATTTTTTTTTGAGATGGAAGAATTAACCCTCAAAAAGGATTTTGTTAGTTCCTGTTTGAAAATTTTGACAGTTTATGTGCATCAAAGTGTGCATTTAGATACCTGAATATTTTTGCATCCCACAACACCGGCTCTCAGTATATAAAAATATTTAACTATCAAAATGTTTAATTATCTATTGTGAGACATTTTACATACATAAGCAGACTAAAGCAAACATGACAGAATGGGGCTGAACTATATATATGTATATATTTATTTGTATAAATAAAATAATATAAAATGGCATGGAACAGAAAGTATTAATCTGGCATGATTTAAACCTGCATCCAAAAGCAGGCTATAACAAACAATTGTTAATAGGTTTTGGTACAATGACTAGCTTAAACCTAAGAAATGTAATGAAGCAATGAATGAAGAATATACAGAAATGTACATTCAAAGAGTTACATTCAAAGGGTCATATGGCTCACCGCCCTTTGGGAACTTAAATTCATAATGGGTATTCATCTTGAATTCATCTTGATGTGGTCTAAGCTTGGATGTTATTTATCCTGCTAATGAAACATCTCCAGGAAAACAGCTAAGTCCAGAGAACTCAACAGCTCATCTCTGAACTACATTTAAATTATTGAAGCATGAATCCATGAAAACTACCCAAGGCCAGATATTTTTGTTGTCTGTCCTCAAACTTCACTTTCCCCCCTTAATTTGTCACTTACAAGTTCATGTTCTGACCTTTTGTGGCTTAACCTCATTTAAAATGGAATGTGATGAACCATATTCTGCCTTCACCAGAAAGACTCAGAACATCAATTTGATCATATTTTAAATAATGGCTTAACTGCAAGCACAGTTGTTCTACAAAGTAGACTTCCAGCATTTCTTGGAAGTCTTCTCCTTCTGTAGTTTTGAAATAGCTAAAACATTTTTACTGGACTCTATTCTTTCCATTGCAATGAATGAAAAAATATGGCTGATGCCTGAGGTCAGTAAACTGAGGATGAGAGAGAGTTATCATGGGAAAAGTGTCCTCAGTATAAAGCTTTCCTTCCCTGATTTTAGATTGTACCCATAATTTCCTTATTATTCCCATGTGATTGAATGGAACAGATTGCTCTGTTAGTATATGATAAGGATGGATAGAAGATATAATTTCTATCTGCTTGAAGAAGTTTGGAAAAATCATCTCAAAGTTTGCATTTATTAATCAAGTTGATAAACTAGCAATACAATAGGTAAACTAGTACTATAAACTTTTTATATTTTCCCTATGTCCATCTCTCCTCATGCCACCATCAACCTTGCTGTTTCATTTCCTTCCTGTTCTGCTTTTGTTGTCTCTATGCGTGGGGAATTTAGTAAGAAAAGTTGAAAACAAAGACATTTGCAAGAGAGAAAGGATTAATCTTTTCTCTTCTGCTTTCTAGTTCTTCTTCCCATGCACTCCCTGTTGGGTATAACATTGATACACCAACTAAGTTTGGGTGAATAAATATATAAACCAAGGTTTGGGTGTTTGTAACCTTGTAGCTTTAAGCACCAAACTGCTTGTAATTAACTAATTAAGGGTGCGGTTAGAAAACGGCAATAAAGGGCAGTAAGAGAAACGTAATCTCTCTCTGCTTGTTTTTTCTGCTTGCTACTGTTTGTTTGCTACTGTTTGCTACAACTGTTTGAATACCTGAACCAAAGGACTATTTCATTGATGTGCTGATATCCTGTGAATACTCGACGTTGTCTTCAAAAGGAAAGGTATCAGAGGAGAAGATATCTTTACAAGCAGATAATGATATAGAACTGTCTAGTAAATGGACTAAGTTACTGAATGGATATATTTGTGAATGACATATGGACTGATTGACAATGTTTAAACTCTAATTGGATTAAATAACTATTTAAACTAAAAAACAGTGTTTGTCATCAGTGTGTGTAAACTCTAGGGCCCTTCCTCTCTCATTTGGCTGCCTGGCTTGACTGCTGCTGCACATTCTGTTTGGGGGTTTGTCCCCAATCACTAACATTGGTTATGGGCCCAGTG